GATCGATCGATCGATAGATGTTCACTATTTTAATTACAGATTATATCAGTAAGGAAGCTGACTAAATATTAACTGATGGCAAAGGGGTGGGATTAAATAAGTGTGTGCTTCTTCCCACTCACTTTCAACATGTAAATGAATCAGAACAGTAGCAATATTGAAATGTATTGACTTTTGTAAAGTATTTCTTTCTCTCTTATTTACTACATGTACCTGTATATTGTTTACATGTTTGAAAGAAATGAACAAACAATAAACTGAACTTGTGTGGGGTGTTTTTTGTTTTTTGTTAATTATTAGACACTGGGATCATAAAAAGACAAGCAATGAACCCCCCCCAAAAGAAAAGAAAAAGACAATCTCCATTTTAACTGTCATACACGGCAACATGACAGAGAGTACAGCAGGAGGAACAAAGAGTGGCAGACCAGATGATGAGCTTTTGTCAGGGTGACAGATGTTGGCCTATTTTCTCTTCACTAATCTGATGCACAGAGCTGACTGACCACCATAATGAGCCCCCCCTCCCCCCCACGCACGTCAATCTGACATATTCATGTTTCTCCTACAGAGGACACACACCCACTATTTTTTCCCTCACACTTCCTGACACACGTGCACACCAGAGTGAGGCGTTTGCAAGATCACTGAATCGTCTGTAACCTCATTGGCTTAGAGTCTGCTTACCCCCCTAAATGTTTGCTATTACGTGTGCGGCAGGTAAGTGAACCTGTTGGGAACATCCTGGCGGTTTAAGGGGTTAATGTCAACAATGAACTGGGGGTGAGGTTGCTCAATACTCCCATTGTCCTTTTGTTCCCCTCTGGCATCACCAGTGGACGACAGCATTCCCACCATGTAGCAGGGGAGGTTATCCACCCTCCACAAAGCACATGATGTGCACATGGCACAGTGTTTATAGCTTTGGGACAAAAACCACCAGTGGGATCAAATAAATAAATACATACTGGCAGCTAGTGCTAGCCCTCAGACTCCTACTAGAGCTATGGGATCATTTCAGTGGCAGCCAATGACTCCATCAGCCTTTTACAGGTGAAACAAGTGTCTCTGCACAGTCACGCTACAATGGAGCACTGAAAACTTCCTCTGCTTTCTTTTATTTGATGATGATAGACCAGTACCTACCACACACACACACGTTTTGTGTGTGTGGGCAGGAGGAAACCGTACCAATGCAGATTGAATTTATCATCATCATCATTATAATGCAGTGTTGTTATATTCATAATTATTATTATTAAAAGTAGAATGCATTAGAGGAGCAGTGAAATTAAAATGCTCTGGACTGGCGAGCTACCACTGCTTACTTTGACCATCAATGATTTGTGACGCAGCGTCCATCAGCACAACCCTAACTGGGCGTGCTGGGCCCCATTCATTAACGTGTGCACAGAAATGTTCTCGCCCTGCACGCACACGTAAACCAGCAGCTGTGTTCATGAAAGCTGCTCATCACCAACTCTATTCCTACTAGGGCTGCCACAAACGATTATTTTGATAGTCGACTAGTCAGATCATCATCCATTGGAC